ACACTCTTTATCCCTCAATAGGTATTTGACCAAAATGTGGGCTAATAATACCCAATATTTAGGCCAAGTTCACCACAAATTGGTGTACATAATTGACCCGTTATGAAGTGCTTCCCGCACAGTGTTCTGAGCTACAACTTAACCATATGTCATGGGTTGCGTTAGGCTTACCCACGCAACCAACTCCAAAGTTTGTTTTACCAGAGATAAGACGCCCGGCGAGGCATAACTGGGACATGTATTTTTCAATTAGTGTATGTCAGCCAGCCTTTAGGGGGTGGGCAGTGAAACAGTGTTGTACTGTTCATCGCTTCACACCCAAAAACCTCATTTTAAGTAGTATCCCCTGAGCCATGGGTTAGTTAAGACGTCGTCTCCATCCTCTCCCTCCTGAAGGGGGGCGGGACACCACACCACACAGAGTCCTCCACCACACTCCGTCCTGTGAACCGTCGTCGACACGAGACTAAGCGTGTTAACCTAGGTTGTTATCCCCGTGGAAATATCACGTGTGGATGCCTGGTTGCGACAAGAGCAATCCAGGCTGGACTATCAAACCTACAGTAAATGGTTAATTAATTCACGCTTACAGAGTTCTCCTGCACGACACCCGTCTACCGTGACCGTGATCGACACGAGACTAAGTGTGTTAACCTAGGTTTGTTATCCCCGTGGAAATATCACGTGTGGAAGCCTGGTTGCGACAAAAGCAATCCAGGCTGGTCTATTGCACCTAATGGTTAATTCAAGTCACGCTTACCAGTTCTACTTGCCGCGACAACCGTCCACAGTGACTGTCAGTGACGCGAGACTATGTGTGGTAACCCAAGAGTACCTTTTTGTTGTTATGGCCGTGGGAAGAAGTTCTTGTGATGAAGCCTGGTTGCAACAAAAGCAATCCAGGCTGGCAGTAAATGTATCACTTGAAGAATTAAGGCTCTGTTAAGTCACACCCATAGTAGAGTAACCACATGTGTCCCCAAGTTGAAAATTCCCTGTTTTAGAAGATTAATTTTATTACAGCGTGAACGTGAGTAAATCATATACCCATGCAAATTGTAAATCATTGTATGGAAGCTTGACAAATAAATGTAAGTGCAATTATCTGCCCGTATCTATGATCCTATCTTATTATTACTAAAGGTAATGACTGATTGGTTATGACATAGTATAACCAATAACTTAGATGGATGTTGAAAATTAAATGAATTCATTAAATCATCATTTATCAAGTATAAATCATGGAATGTCGAGTGGTGGAGTGAACTTCTACGTAGATACGCCATAATCTCCTGTAAGTAATCAGTGTGAAGGTATCGGACTCTACGGTAAGAAATAAGAAATACGACATATTATTATCTTTATTTAATATAATCCACTCCTACTACTACCGAACCACCCCAAAACCATGACACCATAGCTTTCTTCTTTCACTTACTAATTTGTTGCGTTCCTCTCCCCGAGTTGGTATCTTGGGTATTTGATAAAGGGAAAGGCTGGAGTGCTTACTGCATTTATTTCCACAAGCCAGAATGTGTGGCATCGCTACAGCAGCCACCAAGCCACTAAAAGTTAATAAAATTAGCCCACGTCCGTAAGATTCCACTTAATAGTAACGTCACAGTTTGATTATTGTAAATCCTCTATTCAGTCAGTCAGTTTGCTGATGACGCCAAGTTATTTCGGGAATCAAGAACCAAGCAGACTGTGAAGACCTGCAGAAGGATCTCTGTAGGCTCCAGGAATGGTCGAAAGAATGGCTGCTGGGATTCAATGTCACGAAGTGGAAGAGGATGCACCTGGGGCGTACCAACTGTAAGGAGGCGTATCATATGTCCCAACGGGATGAAGAAACTGCACTATTTGTGACTGAATGTGAGAAGGACCTAGGTGTGTATATTGACAATGAGCTGAAGTTCTCGGGCTATTGCGAGAAGAAGGTAAATCAGGCAAATATCTTATTGGGTCTTATAAGAAGCACTTCAAGAGTGAAGTGCTTCCCCATCTGGAGTACTGTCACCCCGTCTGGTCCCCGAGATATGCTAGGGAATGTCAGTTGGTTGAAAATGTTCAAAGGAGGGCCACCAGACTGGTGCCTGCACTTCGGCACCTCAGCTACCCTGAGAGATTGGAGCGCCTGAACTTGCCTAGCTTATACTACAGACGGGCAAGGGGTGACCTAGTTGAGGTGTATAAGCATCTCAGGGGGCACTATTCAGTCGAGTGACCTTACTTGGAGCTGGTGAACGCTCGCCCCACAAGGGGTCACAGCTCAAGATTGTAGAAGCCTCAAGTCCAAAAAACTGTGAGGGCAAACTTTTTCGGAGTGAGGGTTGTAAACTCTTGGAACAATCTACCAGAGAGTGTTGTGACGGCACCGAGTGTGAGCTCTTTCAAGACCAGACTTGACCAACAGTGGAGCAGGTTCAGGTACATTCAGGAGCCGGTGCATGCCCAGTACTTGCCAACAGTGCGTCACAGAGACGTGACCGATCGCCCAAGTGGCTAACGAACCGATCAGTGGTGAAGAGGAGAAAAGAAAAAGTAAGTAAAAGTAGTTACTTGCTCTTGGGTGATGAAACCATAACGAATTGTATCTGAAGATTATTCTTTAAATAAATATTGCTTTACTCACCATAACGGGCTGCATCTACCTGAACCGCCGGCCACATTAAATAGAGTTTCTCAATCACTCCGCGGGCCGCACAAACACATGGTCTGGGCCGCTTGTGGCCCACGGGTTGCCCATGCCTGAACTACAGTATCTATCTATCTATCTATCTATCTATCTATTATTGGGTCAAGAGGAACAGATAGCCCAAAGAAAGAAGATATGTTCTAGACACATTGTATCTCACTGCAGTAGGCGACAAGCCTAGTCACAAGACCATGTGGGCTGAACTAGATTGAGACAAAGCTAAGATTCCATATACATAATGCGTTTGTGTTTGACTATGCATTTGCATTAAATTGCTCAGAAAAATGGACACCCCTGTTTCATTTGCATGCAGCTGTCTTTCTTTTAACGGGAAATGGGCGGGAAAGGTGGCCCCTAGTGCCTTATACGAACAGGATGAGGAAACGTAGATGGTGGGTTCAAAGATTGCTGCTGAACCGGACCAAGTATTGAGCCTACAATACTCTGGTGATGTTTGGTTATTATAAGGCTGACTTATTATCGCACTGACGACTCAATACATTGTCTGGTGTATGGGAGAATCTTGTGAAGGGAGAAGTCTGAAAATCTATATTACTACAGTGTTACTTACGAGGCTACGCTGAGTGGCCTTATTATTCACGGCTATAAGCCTTTAATTTGCCTTTTCTCTGATATTATAACACTGACTAGATGGTCGTCCATTGGCTGCCCCCAGGTGTATTATGGTGTGTTTTACTCAAATCTGACCTTCATTTATGGTGCAAATAATGGCTGTTGAAAAAAAAAACATTTTCAATTGTAACAAACCGGTCATTTGGAACAAAATGCCGGTCAGGTTTGAGTAAAACACACCATAAACAAACTAACCTAACCTAACCTACCCTCACTTAACCTAACTTAACTCAATTTAACCTGTAACATGGCCGAGCTTTACTTCAATTAGCTTAGAACAAATTTGGTTAGGTTAGGTTAATGATAATAATATTCATTTACAGTTTGTATTACCATTATCTACAGGGTATGTCAGCTACAGATCATTTAGACATTCAAGAGACTATGTACACCCATTCTGGGAGTAGGTGATGCTGGGGCTCATGTAGGGGCTAGAACGTGTTCCAACATGATCGTTGGTGGGGTCTTTGAAGTGGACGTAAAAATACTGGTTACCCGCGTACAGTGTGTAGGTGATCTGTGAAGGAGGGAAGCAAAGGTGAGACGAGACACAGCATTAACTTCATGTTTAATTTTAAGTAAAGGAAGGAACTAAAATTATTAATATTATTTTTTTTTACGGGCATTAGCCCACCCGGGCACAGGTCACTGACCCACATCAGGGCCTGGGGGTGGGGGGAATACAGCAGCAGCAGCAGCAGCAGCAGCAGCAGCAGCAGCAGCAGCAGCAGCAATAATAATAATAATATTAATAATAATAATAATAATACTAATAATAATAACAATAATAATAACAATAATAATAACAATAATAATAACAATAATAATAACAATAATAATAACAATAATAATAACAATAATAATAATAATAATAATAATAATAATAATAATAATAATAATAATAATAATAATAATAATAATAATAATAATAATAATAATAATAATAATAATAATAATAATAATAATAATAATAATAATAATAATAATAATAATAATAATAATAATAATAATGTGCCATGAATAAACACAAAAATTAAAACAAAATATCAATAGTGACAAACAATATATGTTGTGTTGTAAGAGAAACAATTGAGACCTGGAGTGGTGTGTAAATGAGGCAGAAAGTCAGATCATCAACATGGGACTTGGTCACATATAGCAGCAGGGTCTACCAACACAATATGCTTCCAATATCTTCCTCCTTGTTTGATGGCTGTCTACTACCCATCTTATATATACAGCATATAAGACACGTCATAAAGAGAGTCAGACTGTAATGCCTCCACACACACACACTGCCACTCAACCTTATCTAGAGAGTTTGTGGGGTGTCCTTTGAATTATATGCCCAGACTAAGGCTTTTACTTTTCGTTAATTCCAGCGTTATACAATATGTCCCTACTAAGTGGGTACACAAGGACACAGCCACTATACTTGACCGCCTTCACTCCCCAGTTTGCCACTAAACCCATTCCTCTCGATAGGCATCTAAAAATAGTCAGCATTTCATCATGGTAGAAGCCTGTGGTAGCCAACGACTCCTTCACAACTCACCAACCCACCCAGGAATTGTTTAAACAAATATCACAGATTCTGTAGAATAGAAATACTGTACATTACAAGTCATGGGGCCTCCCAGATGCCCTTCTACGTAGTGTTGGCCCTATCATGGGCCTCCCAGATGCCCTTCTACGTAGTGTTGGCCCTATCATGGGCCTCCCAGATGCCCTTCTACGTAGTGTTGGCCCTATCATGGGCCTCCCAGATGCCCTTCTACGTAGTGTTGGCCCTATCATGGGCCTCCCAGATGCCCTTCTACGTAGTGTTGGCCCTATCATGGGCCTCCCAGATGCCCTTCTACGTAGTGTTGGCCCTATCATGGGCCTCCCAGATGCCCTTCTACGTAGTGTTGGCCCTATCATGGGCCTCCCAGATGCCCTTCTACGTTGTGTTGGCCCTATCATGGGCCCCCCAGATGCCCTTCTACGTAGTGTTGGCCCTATCATGGGCCTCCCAAATGCCCTTCTACGTAGTGTTGGCCCTATCATGGGCCTCCCAAATGCCCTTCTACGTAGTGTTGGCCCTATCATGGGCTTCCCAGATGCCCTTCTACGTAGTGTTGGTCCTATCGGCTGTAACTCGCCAGGCAGTTGGAACTAATCATACAATAGGGAGAACGATGAATTTGGTTGTTACCTATTTTGATGTGTTTGTTTTCTTACATAGAATCGAAGAGGGA